GCTACCCGGATGCTGTTGCTTTGGGATAAGCCATGTTAATACTGCTCAATTTAATAAGTCAGGTCTCGGAGCTCCTTGAACTCTTTGTCATGTATAATTCGACAGCTTTCCCTGCGCAAGGGCAGTGATCTTACTCTGTCCCTGCAAGGAACTTCTGTGTGCACACTCTTGCCATTTACTTCATTCTGGTTATTCAAACGAAATGACAACATGGTCTTACCTGCTGAAGGGTCGTCCCAAAGACCAACAGCACTTCTCCTTTTTATGCATCCTGAATAATAAGGGAGTTTCATTCCTCTTCAAGAAAATGAAGAAGAGCAACTGCATTCTGAATTCTATTAGATTCACTTCACAGCTGCTTCGGTAGCCTTCCATTTCCATACTCAAATATGCATGACACTGATAGCGATGTCCTTTCTGCTCAAACCAGTGCTATTTATTTATTTCCTTTCATGCTAGGAATCTTTAGTATCATCCTCTTCAAAACAGAGCACAGAATCCAACTTATAAAAACATTCTGGAATCGACTCTACTTATTCTACTTATTCATCTTTTTTAAATTTAAATTTATGGGACATTTCAATAAGACATAAAAGTAAAGAGAACAATTTGATGAGTACTAGTAGTATAGTCACTCCCGCAGCCTCCAGTTTTAACATGTTGCCATCCTTGGACCTCTGCCAGTCCTCACATACGTGAAAAGATTTTGCTGGGATATTTTAAAGCAACTTCCATATAAGATATACGTCATCCATAAATATGCAATCATTTTTTAAACATAACAGTATTATAGTAGTAAACAAAATTCACAGTAATTCTTTAATATTATCTAATATTCAGACTACATTTACTCTCCCCCCCCCCATTGTCTCAAAAATGTCTGTTTATAATTGACTAGAGGCCTGGTGCACAAAATTCATGCATAGATAGGGTCCCTAGGCCAGCGATCAGGGCCAATCAGGGCCTTCTGGCTGCCTGCCGGGCCTTCCTTCATTCCTCACTGCCCCCTGGTGATCAGTGCACATCGTAACGAGTGGCTGAACTCCTGAGGGGACAATTTGCATATTAACCTTTTATTATATAGGATTTGTTTAAATTAGGGTTCATGAAGTTCTCCCCATTGCATTTAATTAGAATATTTTTAAGTCCCTTTGAAACTAACAATCTGTCTCCCCTTTTCAGACGGTTTGTTTAAAAAACTGGCTTTCTTATTTATTTTTCCAACATCTCTGCAGTGTTGACGGGCTGGCTAGATTCATGTGTAACTCACAAGTCAGTCACGTGGATATCTTCCTGGCTTTCAGCCTGCTGGAAGCAGTCTGTCCCTGACACTTAAAAGGGGATGGGGGGTAGAAGAGGGTAAAAGGGGGAAAAATGATGATGGAAGAAGACTTGGCTTGTAGTGGTAAACACACAACATAATATACAGAGGATGTATTGTGGAATTGTATACCTGAAACCTATATAATATTATTAACCAATATCACCCCAAGAAATTCAACTAAAAACCTCTTATGTCTTAATAAATAAAATAAGATCATCAGTAACATAAATGGATATAATCAGCAGGGAGTTACGTATGGAATTTTACTTTACAACAATCATTTTGATATTTGCTGACCTCACTAAGAAGCTTTTATGGTGAGTTATTTGTAGGGCAGCATGGTTTTTGGCCCATCTTTCTAAAAAGACCTCAGCCCAGAGGAGAGCTTGCAGCATAATCATTACACACAAGCTATAAATGCTCCACCTGGAAAGACAGATACAGTTGTCTGAGCATATGCAGCATTTTGGTGTGCCAGGAAACCACACTGTGCATGATGAGTCCTTTCTGCAGTTAAAAACATTCTGACTTTAGTGTCTTAGAAATCATTTTTAAAATTTCTAAACTTGAGAGATCCGATGATTTCCTTTCCATTTATATTTCCCTGGCCCCCAGTAGCAGGAAGCTCATTTCAGATTGCATTTCTGTGTTTGACTTGTTGTATTTCCTCTGCGCCAGAATGGGAACAAGTTGAGATGTGTGATAAATTTTCAATATATTGTATAAACGCTGGTGTTGCTGCTTGTTTGCATAGCATGGCACGAGTAATTCATTCGAAGCGCGTTGTCTAAAATCTCTGACAAGGGGGGTGGAGTGCTGAGTGGGTTCTGAGAACAGAGATGGGAATTTTACATATGTTTTTCTTTTCAACTAGTCAAAGTATTAAAGATTTTATGTACTGCAGGTGTATAGAGAAAAGGACTTTAGATTTTTGTAAGTAGCATATATAGATCTACACAAAATTAATTTATTTCTGAAATTATGGTAGTGATTTTGTTATGTTTTTTATATTACTTAATGTGATGATAATTGGAACAGTTCTGAAATACAGTTGGTGAATAAGAACCTTAGAGAGAGAACCTTAATGGAGAACCTGAGGCAACTTCATTTAGTTTCTCAGAAGATTTATAACCAGGTCTCTATTTCAGAGAGCCAAACTGGATGAATAGGTAAAAGTAGTCTTATTTCAAGGAACCCGCATCTAGTTTTGTAATTTTCTTTTAGTTATAAACAGTGTGACCTGCTTCCAAGCGTAGAGTTCTGATATGGTCAAAGCTCTTATTTTCCAAATGTGTCAATCTTGGGGTTCCCGCATATCCCGATGAGTATAAAGTCTAATATCTTCCTCTTTGACAATCCTTCCTCTTTAGCCTCCTTGGGGGCAACTCTGCCCACAGCCACCAAAGCTTGCTAAGTTTGAAGTGTTTAAGGAGTCAACCCACCTTCCACAGGTGTAGCAAGAACTGCAAAAACCATATCGGCTCATTAGCATACCACGTCACGCGGACTCCTCCTACCCCATTCCACAGATAACATTCTCCCAGACTATGTGGCTGCCCTTTTTGGTCCACTCTTTGTACAGGCCCCTTGGAGCTCCAAGTCTAGAGCTTCCTTAGCTCCTTCCCACATGCTCAGCCATTGGTTCCCTCCACTTGGCACAGTGCCAAGGTGATTGGGCACCAGAGGATTTTCATCTTAGCCACAGGTTTCAACCAAATCCCTCCTTGTGCCTTCCTTGCTCAGTGGGTCTTCATCTTGAATGTGCATAAGGAAATCTGAGCAGCTAGAAAAAAATTCATATTCTTTGACCCCACACACAGAATGCTAGTGCGGGAGCTCTGGAACGAATCCAAGATTCTCCAACTTTAATAGCATCCCAGGTGTTTCTGATACAAGTGGAAATATATTACCTACTTGAGCAGTGGTCTCCATCCACTGTTACACATTTGAATCATCCAGGAAGTTTTAAAAAGATGCTAATGCCCAGGACCCTTCCTCCATCCCTTAAGTCAGAATGTTTGAGTTCAGTAAAGGTGTGGACATTTCCCAGAAGCTGTCCAGGTGATTGTAATCTGAAGCTTGATTTGAGACCCACTACCCAAGGTTGGTCTGATAAACACAGGTCACCAGACAGTTCCTCTCCCACGGGGTAAGTGTCTCTTTGGGACAGTTAATGGTGTTTCCTGTCATATAATCTTCATAAATTACTGTCTACTCTATCAGATTTGTGTATCTTTAAAATGTAGGGACCCCTGTTCTTTTCATAAAATTGGCCCTCCCAGGGTTCTAAATACTAAATGAAGAGGTACTTATAAGCTAAGAAATAGGTGAGATTTCACCTAAATTTGCACAATTGTGTAACTTTTTCTGTAGCAATTGCAATAACTTGTGTCCATCTACACAGATAAAGCCTTCCCTGGCTAGAATTGTTAGATCCTTATCCACACGCCATCACACAGCCCTGCACTACTGAGTGTTACGTTTAGGTATACAGATTCAGAGAGTGTTGTCTAACCTGAGGCCTTCTGTGCCCCCCTCACTGTAATTTGGGGTCAAAATGTCAGGTCCCTTCGCCTTAGTTTCATAATGACAGAATCCTGAGTAGGCAGAGATCAGCAGCCGTTTCAGCCTGGCCCATAAACCTGAGAGGCCATGTAAGTCAGCCGGGCTAAGGCCAGTTAAGCTAGTTCAATAAAGACTTAAGTTTAGGACCAACATATAAATGTTTCATCTGCCTCCTCAGTAAGTGAGTGAGTTATTTTAAAACCAACAAGGAAAAAGACAGCAGGAGTAAAGGTATTTTAAGCATCACTTATTGTTGGTCTTTTTTTATACTTGTTTACCTTCAAGCAGGTTTACATCTACATTCAATAAGTAATGAAATTATGACACAGTTTATAGAAATCAGTAAAACAATATCTTGGGGAAATCATATATACAAATTAAAATTATTAATTTGTCATACCATTTTTAAGGGTCCAAATGTAGTTGTGGAAATAGCCATTATGGTATGATAGATGAAGGTTGCTGAAAGTCTTTATTTTTGAATTTTTGGTTGATATTTATGCATGTGATGAACTTGTAGACTGGTGGGGGGGAGGGGGTATGGAATTTGACACTGCCCCTCCCATTAACCACTCCAAAGCCATCCCAACAAACCTCTACTGTAAAAAGGCAAAAACAAAAATATGCAAATGCGGCTTTAGGACAAATTCCATAAGCACCCCCCTTTCCACCCAAACCCTCCAACCCATCTGCTGCCGCTAAGCCCCTTCTGTATAGGAATCCTAGAGTGGCCAATGAGGTAAAAGCAATTCTTAGAGGTAGGCATAGGCAGTATCCCCCCGCCCTTCTGTCAATAGCCTGTGTTCAACATAAACTATTATCAGAATCCATATATTATTTACTTGCTCTTAAATAATTCATTTCTCAGTATACTTCACATGTGACTTGAAAGTCTTCCTAGCATCTAATAAAAACCAGGGAGGGTTATCTGTGATGTTTTTTAAACCTACACCATCAATTGAATGATTATCGCAAACCCTCCTACTAGATTTTTGCTGCAAATAAAGGATGAAGAGAGGATTCCTCTGTGTAAGGAAATGTTAATTCCTAAATCACGGAGTAATTACAGACATTCCAGTTTGCTATAAACAGTTCTCCGCTTTTCCTCCAGCCATTACTTGTCGAAAGCAAGACGGAGGGCAGGCTGGCATCCACGAATGCCTCCAGCACGCGGGCCCCGTGCCAGCCCTCACCCAGGCCTGCCAGGTCCCCTGCCAAGACGACTGTCAGTTTACCAGCTGGTCCAAGTTTTCCTCATGCAATGGAGACTGTGGGGCAGTCAGGACCAGAAAGCGCACTATTGTTGGTAAGAATAATTAGCTGGAGCGCCTACGTCAATACGTGTCAAGGTAGAAAAACACAAAACAGTCAGACCAAGAGAGCGCCAACAATGTATTTGGAAAATGCACAGATAGGCCTTATCGTTGGTACACTTATACCTAATACGTCACCAGTGGGTTTGGATGTGTGTTTTCATGTTAGCTGGCAGCGACAGACACATTGTAATTTTAGCACAAAGAAAAAGTAGCCTTTAAGATCAAACTCCATCACCTGTACAATATGTGGAAGTTTATTTTTTGTTTAAATATGGACTTTTGGTGAATTGCCTACAGACCGTGAAGGGCTTGGAGAAAAGGTCTTTGGGGACACGAGGAAATGTTGCTCCTTCATTTTCTTAACCCATTCTCACTGTCACAGCCTCGGATTATCTTTCATATCCTAGAAGAGGACTGTGACGTTAATTCTGTGTCAGAAAACTGCATTTTGAAAGGCAGTCGCAATGACAAAAAGCAGTGATATAATGAGCAAGAATAGGAGACATTGTACTGACCTACACCCTGGTGCATTCAAAAAGACTGTCAGTTAGCAAAAGAAACCTAAAAATATTGGTGCTAGTAGACTACTCAGACTTTAAAAGTTATAAAATAAGCCACCTGTCATAAATAAAGACTGTTGAGAACTATGTAAGCTATCTTATTACAGATAAATATATGTAAAACATGACATTAATGATATGTAATATAATTAGTCTATACTATATATAACATAATAAATATAAATATGTTATCCAGTTAAAATAATGATATATAATTTTAAGCATGTATTACTGTTATACTTGAGTTATTTATTTTAAAAGGGTCTTTATTTACATTTATATATAAACCATTTCTAGTATTTTTCCTGATATTAAATATCTTCACCTTAAATATTATTGATATTTCCTATGTTAATCACAAGTATGTCAAAATGATTACTCTTCAGAAATGCTGAAAGAGGCAAAATCATAATCAGAACAGTAAATATAAAACAAAATAAAAGTAAATACAAAAGTCTCGATTTCTCAATTCCCTAGATGGCTATACCATCTATTTGAACTAACAAAAAACTGTGAAGATCAGGGCAGTGACTCCCTCTCCCATTTCATCTTTCTGCACATTATACAGGAGAAATTACTGCAGTTACCTCCGCCTCCCAGTCAGTGAAAACACATGATCATTTGAGAAGATTTTGATCATTTTAAGGAGTATAAAATTCACCACAACAACTAGTACCTTATATAAGGGCTATTTTTACATCAGCTGTTTCTTTTCGTTGATTTCAGAGAGGGAGGGAGGGAGGGAGGGAGGAAGAGAGAGAGAGAGAGAGAGAGAGAGAGAGAGAAACATCAGTGATGAGAGAGAATCATTTATTAGCTGCCTCCTGAATGGCCCTCAATGGGGATTGAGCCTTCAGTCCAGGCATGTGCCCCGACCAGGAACCAAACCATGACCCCTGGATCATAGGTGGACACTCAACCACTGAACCACACCAGTTAGGCAAATAAACTATTTTTAAATGAATATATATATATATATATATATATATCTCTATATATATATATATCTCTATATATATATATATCTCTATATATATATATATCTCTATATATATATATATCTCTATATATATATATATATATACACATATACATAGATATAGATATAGATATAGATATATATGTTTTACTATGGAAAGCACCCCGTACTAACAAAAGCAGATAGAAAGCCTGAGGTGAGAAAATAGCGTTTATTTATAAACTACTGTTGAATGTGACTAAAATGGAGAAAGGAAGTTTAGGAAAGGAGAAAACTTAGGGGAATGCTTGAAATTAATAATGGTACTTTCCAACGTAAATTTCTCCACAGGAAAAAGCAAAAAGAAGGAAAACTGTAAAAATTCTCATGTGTACCCCCTCATCGAGACTCAGTATTGTCCTTGTGACAAGTATAACGCGCAGCCCGTGGGGAACTGGTCCGACTGCATTTTGCCAGAGGGGAAAGTGGAAGTGCTGCTGGGGATGAAAGTCCAAGGAGACATCAAGGAATGTGGCCAAGGCTATCGGTACCAAGCAATGGCATGCTACGACCAGAACGGCAGGCTCGTGGAGACGTCCAGATGCAACAGCCATGGTAATCCCACTTTTCTCCCGGGTTAAGCATTTGCTGCCTTTGGGGTGGAGATAAAATGCACATGTATGAGAATGGAGGCAAAGGAAGGTCTCCAGAATGAGGTTCTAAGTGGAACATGATGGGGCACCACACTATACGTACGTCATTTATATGTAACAGGACATTCGGTGGCACTGTCTCATTGTCCAGGAGTTGGCAATGAAGCCATCAATTTGGTGGCAAAGAAGGCTTACAGGTAGGCAAATGCTGCCAGAGCCTCCTCTGGGATTAAGAGTCTGTTGAATAGACCCAACCAGCCCCAACAGCTGCACAGGAAAGGAGAGAGGTTTCAATTTAATTTAATTTGAAAATAAAGTTTTAAACTAAACGGACTTTTAATAACCAAACTGGCAAGATTTGCAATGTGCCTAAAATGTCATTGTCAGAGAAGAAAGATTGAAAGTCATAATTGGTGAAAACTCAAACATATCCTATCTACTGCTCTATTAAGTTGAGGTTGGCCAAAAAAAAAAGTACATCCTCTTAGGAAACTGTGCCCACTTTTGATTTCTAAACCAAAAGGAAGAAAAAGAGAGAGGGAAGGAGGGAGGGAAGGAGGGAGGGATTTAACTAGTGAGATGGGATGTGAGAGGTCCTTCCAGGAACAGGTTCCAGAGTGTGCGAAGACTCGGAATGGAGACTGAGGCAGTTCAGGAACCAGCAAGTATCTTGCGAGGAAGGGAGGGAGGGAAGGAGGGAGGGAGGGAGGGAGGAAACAAGGAAACAATAAAAACTAAGATATAGTAATAATAATTGAGTTGCCAAAACTTAGTGAAGAGTGACCATTTTTGACCAGTATAGGTAGTGAACTCTTTGGTTCCAAGTGTTAATATAGGCAGCCTTGAACAATGTTTCTCCATTATTTTTTATTTTAATACAGCTGGCTGTCTTTTTATAATGTTATGAGATCAGTTTACCATGGGTCAGCCTGAAACATAGATGTCACATATTTGCAAACACTGGACAATGGTCCTCCTCCCTTCTTCAGGGAGTTGGCCTAAGAAAGATGGGTTAAATTGATAGGAGGGGTGCACATGGCAGGTACCTTTAATCTGGCTGGGAAAAAAATTCTATTAGAATGGTCTTCCTCTCGTTTTATTATATGGTTCAGAAAACAATATGAACTAATTGGACCATCTCACATGTATAAACCATCAAGGTATTGTAGTGACACAGTTATTGGAAACTTTTACACATGTTCTTACAAAGAAGCTCCCAAAAACCTCATTCATTTTTTTAACCTTATCTCATAGTTTCTGTTTTATCAAAGTATAGTGATATAAACCCCAAGGATGTTGAAGCTCTATATATAAGTATGTTTCAGGTTAATATGTGTGCATTGATAAGTTTTAGATTATTCCATACACTTAGGACAATTAAAGAAAAAAGAGTTTCGTGTTTATAATAGGAATACTTTGAGAAACACCTCTAAGTATAACTGAGTGTTTTATCCTCTATTATCAGGGGTCCTCAAACTTTTTAAACAGGGGTCCAGTTAACTGTCCCTCAGACCGTTGGAGGGCCGGACTATAGTTTTATAAAAAACTATGAACAAATTCCTATGCACACTGCACATACCTTATTTTGAAGTAAAAAAACAAAATGGGAACAAATACAATATTTGTATTTGCATGTGGCCCACTGGCTGTAGTTTGAGGACCCCTGCTCTATATCAAATAACATAGGTGCTGTAAATTAGATACCAGGAAAATGCAAATGCACTTCTCATCCTGAGATGATCTGATGATAATATATACGATCATAATTAGTCATTAAAATGTAAAATTGAAGATCACTTGAGAAATATGTTTCTCTTGGAATGCAGCATGTAAGTGTTTGCTCACATTTCAAATTCTTATACATAGCGAATCACCAAGATAGTCATTTGTTTTTCACATAACCTGAGAGTTTTCAGAATGATTCTCATATATTCTCACTTTTACCCTGATCTGCTAATTAGATGCAAGAGTGCTTCCGTCAGCCACTTAACAGTCAACCTTATTTTTAGAAAAAGCTTTAAAATATCCTGGGACTCTCACAAAAATGCTTGATCACTCAAAAAAAGTAAAAGCACTAAAACATTTGAAGTTGGCCAAAGGCAGTAGACTTCCTAACTTAGCTGTCGATTCAAAGTATAAAGAAGGCAGGAGTGTATTCTGGAAGAAAAGTAAATATAGAAAGAAGATTCGTCCATGCACTCCATGGGGTTTGGGAAAGGATCAATGATCCTTAACTAAATGAACTCTTCCAGTTTAGTTCTTTGCATCTGTCCAAGATTATTCATTCTTTATTTAATCTGATCCATAATAGATATCCAGTGGAATATTTTAGTGTTTACTAACATATTTACTCGAAGCAAAGTCTGTGGAAATTGAGTCTCTATTGCCTCATTCCTTTGGAAATTACTACTTTTTAAATACATGTTCTGTGGATTCTGATGGCATCGGTGGAATGCTATAACTTTGGCACTGTGTCCTAGGCCTGCTCTAAATTGCATTTTCTATGTCCTCTGCCTTCTCTCAGTCAAATCAGCTTTTTGGATGGGTGGTAGAGATGGGGTCTTCAAGTTGCTTTCAAAAAAAGGTTTCCTCCTACTTTCAGTTGAAATATAAAATTAATTACCACATGTATACCATACAGAGACACAAACTCCCTATTCAATAATGGCCTTAGGGAATTTCTATTTAATTTGTGTTGTCCATCTGTGGATCATATTACCAGTTATTATACTGATAAAGCAATTTTACTTTCACCAGTTTAATTATATTATTCTAGGCCATTTCCCATGTGGTCACTCTTTTTTAATGTCTTAACTTGTGGCACAATTCTATTAGGTCTGGGATTTCTCATAATAATAGACTCTGTATTGAAAAGTGATATACCCATACTCCAAAAATCAGATCTCAATGTATACCTTTGGAGCTACATAATGTTCATCCATCCTTATACATGGCATTAAAGACAATTCCTGTACAAACGTTAATATATAAATACATTTTTGGCATTTATCCTTAAAAGATAATACAAATTATATACATTTTCTTTTTGTATAGTATCACTATAGCAACAGATTTTAAATCACTCTAAAACCAAATGAATCAGTTTTTACTCACTGCTGGAATGCTCTAAGAATTTAAATGATATCGGTTCACTAGAAATTTACCGAGTGCCTGACCACATAGTAAGTACTAGGTACTTCTTAAGTTAATTATTTTTAAGATTTTGCAGGACAGGAGGTGGAATTTCTGAAACTTTTTGTTATACATTTAATCTTGATACTTTATTTAACCTTTATATTTTAAAGAATCTTAGAGGTAACCCTAGCTTATACAAGATACATGTATACATATTTCCATTTGCACATGAGGGATAGAATTTTATGTACTGCCCCTCAACTCTGCCCAGCTGTCCCCAAACCCTTTAACCTTTTCTTCTCTTTGTATTTCCAAAGCATGTGTCATTCTATAACATACCATATAATTCACTTACTTATTATATTTATTATTTATGCCTTATCTCCTGTACATGAATGTAGATTGATGAGGGTATCCTGGACTACTTCATTCACTGAAGTAGCCACAGCATGTAGAACAGTAGGTGCTCAGTTAATATGTGTAGAATGAATGAATGAGGGAAAGGCTGGAGAGAATTTTTGTGGTTGCATTTCATTCACAATCAGATTTGGACAGTTTCTTTTTCCCAGTCTGTCCTTCCCTCTGTGTCACATTTCTGGGAAATAATCAGAAAGATCACTGAGAACAACTAAAATCTGTGGAATAAAAGCTACAAAGTTTCTGTACGATACTTATCAAATAGCTCTGCTTCTCTCTACCTACTTAATGGGAGAAGAAATAATAGTCACACACCCAACCCACTGAATTAATCGTAACATCAACATTGACAAGTTTCTTTATTGCCATTTAGAGATTATTCAGAATTGCCTAATTTGTATAACACCAGATGTGGACAACAGCTTACCCTCTTGGTTCATATTAGTCATTGTGACAAATTGCATTTTCCCAGACTGTGTTTACACAACCTGTGTAAACCTGTGTTTCCTGGCCTGTGTTAATCAAGAGTGTGAGATGTTTATTTAACTCTCTTTGTTCCCACTTACCTTTCCTTGAGAAAATAAGGACTGACATTTCTATTTGATTTATATATACATTTTAGGGCATTATGTGGAAGTCAGGGTGCAACTGATAAAAATAATTATGAGTATAGGGAGAGTAGATTCTAAAGATAACCTACCTGACCACTCAATTATAATATAACTGGAATGTATTAATTTCTGTAATGGGATTCTATAGAAGTTTATCTAAGTTTAATATTAGAGGTTAATTAGAAACAAAATTGAATGATAAATTGCTCCTTATATAGCGGGTGCTGGTATTTGAGGAGAAGCACGTTTAATTAAATGGGCAGAAAAGACTATAAATAGAGTCTTTTTAAAAATATATATTTTTATTGATTTTTTACAGAGAGGAAGTGAGAAGGATAGAAAGTTAGAAACATCGATGAGAGAGAAACATTGATCAGCTGCCTCCTGCACACTCCCTAGTGGGGATGTGCCTGCAACCAAGGTACATGTCCTTGACCGGGATCAAACCTGGGACCCTTGAGTCGCAAGCTAACGCTCTATTCACTGAGCCAAACCGGTTAGGGCTATAAATAGAGTCTTGTAAACAAGCTGAAGTGGAGTACTAATGTCTCTGAAAAGCATTTTCAATTGATAGTGTTCATTTAATGTCTAATTCATTTCAGAATTCAAAACTTTCATTTAATAACGCAGGTACAGCTAGTATTGCTTTTGCAGTTACCATTCACAATGGAGATGTTTTTCTTTTTAAATGTAAAAGAGAAGCAGGAGATGAGGGACAAACTTTTCCTGAGCTAAAGTTTAAAGAGCGAGGGTGAAAAAGAAAGGGACTATTCTAGACATTTGAGTACAATAAAAAAGC